CCCTCACCCCAGCTCAGCCACCTGCATCCTCCCATGGAAAATGTCACCTTTTAAATACAGAGATGAGGGGACAAAGGCATAAAATGCAGAAGCAGCTGTGGCAGGAGACAGTTAATTCCTGAAGTTAGGATATGGTCAGGACGTTGGAGATGAAGGGCACTGGGTGAACACCAGAATCAGCTGTCACAGCCCCAGCTGCAGTGTTTTTGGGGGATAATCAATGCCAAGGTTTCCAACCTCTCCTTCACTTTCGTTGTATCCATCTGGGAAAACCCCAAAAACCGTTGATATTTTAAAAGTACAGTGTTTTGTTGTTTTTTTTTTTTCTGGGGAAATCACTTCAAGGTCTCTCAGGTTCAAGAAGAAGTGCTGCTGACAATGAGAGGGGGGAGATTTGTTTTGTGGGTGAGGATTTGGGGGATGTGGCTGGTGCAATGGTCCAGCCCCAACTGTCCATCCTTGGCCCCATCCATCAAATTTTCACCCAAACTTTGGGCTGCATTCCCTGATTTAAACCCCAGAGCAGTCACGGAGAGGAAGGACACTGAACCCATTAATCACAGACTCAGGGAATGGGTTGGGCTGGATGAGAATTTGAAGATYATCCCATTCCAGCCYTTCCAYTGTCCCAGGCTGCTCCCAGCCCCAATGTCCAGCCTGGTCTTGGGCACTGCCAGGGATCCAGGGGCAGCMACRGCTGCTCTRGGCACCCTGTGCCAGGGCCYCCCCACCCTCTGGGTAAAAAATCYCTTCCCAATCTCCCTCTCCCTTCCTCCCAGCAGTTGATTTGTGCAGGTTTCTTGAAAAGCTGACTCAGCAGCTGTCGACATCCAGGGGTTTGCAGCAGAGCAGCTCAGCACCAGCAGAACATTCTGCTGCAGGGTGTAAAAATGTCCATCCTGTGCTTCAGCAACATCCTGAACCTGCCCAGAGGGGCTGCACTGCCTGAGGAGGAGGAGGAGGAGGAGGAAGGGGGGAGCCCAGGGGGCACCTGGATCTGTTCCCACAAAAACTGGCCACAGCCACAGCCAACTCCTCTGCAGCAAGGCTCGTTTGCCATTGTCACAGTGATTCCTCTGCAGGGACCAGAGTGGAAACACAAAGACAGCGACTGCAGGGCTTTATCTCTGAACCCCAGAGAGAAAAATCCCTCTCCAAGCAAAACTGACTGTGGAGCCAGCCCAGGGCTGCTGGAGGGCCCTGACACAGCCCCTCATTCCCTGTCCCCTCAGTCCCTGTCCCCTCACTCCCTGTCTTCTCAATCCCTGTTCACATTCCCGGTCCCCATTCCCTGTCCCCTCAATCCCTCCTCCCTCACTCCCTGCTCCCTCCCCAGCTCCTCCTCCGTGCCCTGCCCTGTGCCACGGCCATTCCCACATATTTTCCCCTTCATTTCCCTCTATTAAAGCCCTAATTGATTGATCAGACCAGGAGAGCCCAGATGTGTCCCCCGGGACGCTGCTGCATTCCCAGTTGAATGGGACTGGGGACGGCAGAGCACCGAGCCTCGGTGCTGGGATGGGAGGGGAAAACCTCCATGTCCCATCCCTGCCACGTCCCTCTGCTCTGCCACATTCCCAGTCAGCCCTGATCCCCTTTGCCCTCCCAAAATTCCCTCTCCAGCCCACTCTGATCCCCTTTCCCCTCCCGAAATTCCCTCCCAGCCAGTCCCAAACGCAACCCCACGTGGCTGGATATGGTCCCTGCCCTATTTTTCCTTTTCCAGGGAACGCAGTGTCCTTTGGTGCCCGTGTTGAGGGTGGCCCTCAGGGGTCTCTGCTGTCCCTGCCCTGTCCCTGTACATCCCTCCCTCCTCACTCAGGGGTGCTGGGGAGTTTCTGGCTATTCCTGCTCACCCTCAAGGATCATAAACCCCAATATATCCCTCCCCCTCCCAASCCTGGGAGGAAGGAAAAGCTCCCCCTAATCCCAGAAATCAAGACTTGCCTCCCCAGATCTCTCCAGCGGAGGAATGAGAGCTCTGAGCAGCATCTCCCCATTGGTATTCCATTCCACCTGCTCCTGCAAAGCGGTTTTATTCATCCCCAAAAGCCCCGGCTGCTGCTGAAGCCCCGRGATTTGTGCCGAGGGGATGATCAGACCCAGCTCCTCGTGCCRGACAGAGCTCCCTCAGATCCTGCCTGACATTCCCTGCAGCCTCCACGTGCTCAGAGTGAGGGGAAAGAGGGAAGAATTCATCAGGCAGCGCTTTGGCTTTCAGCTGATCACTGCACAAAGTATCGACTTTCCCAAATCATCTTATCAGTGCTGCAGGCACACAATTCCTGCAGGCACACAATTCCTGGGGCACACAATTCCTGCAGGCACACAATTCCTAGAGCACACAATTCCTACAGGCACACAATTCCTGCAGGCAAAGAATTCCTGGGGCACACAATTCCTATGGGCACACAATTCCTGTAGGCAAAGAATTCCTGGGGCACACAATTCCTGGGACACACAATTCCTGCAGGCACAGGATTCCTGGGGGCACACAATCCTTGTGCACACAGAATTCGTGTAGACACACAATTCCTGCGGACACACAATTCCTGGGGCACACAATTCCTGGGGCACACAATTCCTGGGGCACACAATTCCTGGGGCACACAATTCCTGGGGCACACAGTTCCTGAGGGCACTGAATTTCTTTTGCAGCCGTGGTGTTCAACAATTCCTGCTGGTCCCCACTGCCCAAAGCAATCCAGCCGCCCCACGGAGGTTCACCTCATTAAAACCTRTTGTTAATGTTGTTATTCCTGGTGTTCCTCCACCCCAAATCCTGTAGGGAGAGGTTCACACCGCAGCCAGAGGTGTCTGCCCTTGGAAAGGAGCTCGGCAAAGATATTCCAGCTAAAGGAGCTGTTCAGGTGGGGAGGGGAAGGCACTTTCTGGGTGTCCCCATGGATTTTCTTCCCCTTGGCGCTGATTCCATAAGCTTTGGGGTGAGGGTTCACAGTGGCAGTGCCTGTCCTGCTGTCCCTCCTTGTCCCCTCCTCGCTGTCCAGTCCCCAGCACTGGGCATTGTTCCCTGCCTAAAATCCTTCCCTGGGAAAGCCTGCAGGGCTGAGCTGCTCCACCAGCAACCCAAGCTCATGCCCTGCCCTTCGTCTTCCAAATGTGGAAACTGCACATCGAGGGGATAYGGGGAACCCAGCCAAGCCCTGATTCCCAAAAAGGCTGGGTTTCCAGTTGGGAATGCCACTGGGGATGATGCAGAGGCAGAAATGCTCCAGGCTKAGGTGACAGGTGGCCCTGCAGACGGGGACAGCCAGGGAGCAGTGGGCACAGGGACTGTGCTCCCTGAATGACATGTTGGGGTTTTTTTCTTTGCTTTTTCTCTGGGGAAAAGCAGCCAAGCTGATGGAGCTTTCAGGAGCCCTCCTCCCCCAGGAGAAAAGCAACTGGAGCTCTTTGAGGACTTGGAAATCCACGGAAGTGCCAAGTGAAGAGGTRTGATTTGATGTTTACAAGTAAAAGCCCATGACCATTGTTTTCCAAGGCCCTGAGCACTCAGGGACTCAGTCCCAGCTTCGATCCTGCTCTCCCTGGAGCCTCTGCTGTGTCACCGCACCAGGGGGTCACCAGGGCCACATCCCTGGGGAAACTGAGCCCAGGAATCCTGCAGTTCTCAATCCAGGCCCAGCCCTGCCCCRTCCCAGGCACTGGCAGGGATGGGAGGATCACTGAGAGCAGCGGGATAAACTGGGGGYGGAACTTTCGGGAAGGCTCCAGACTTCTCTGCTTCCCATCCAAGAGCTCAGCTCACAAACTCCATTTTCCCACCAGGATTTCTGCTTCCTGAGCAGCTCCTGAGGGGCTGGAATTCTGGAGAGCAGCAGTGGCTCGGTGGGATGGGATGGGATGGGATGGGATGGGATGGGATGGGATGGGATGGGATGGGATGGGATGGGATGGGATGGGATGGGGCTCCCTCCTCTTCCTCACCATCTGGGATGAGGCTGCCAAGGTGCACTGGAGACAATAAAATGTCCCTGATTCGCCCTTTTGGGGTCATTTACTCCCCCCAGATACACCACAAACCATGGGGGCTTCACCAGCACCGAACCCTTGCTTTGACAACCAAATCCCAGAATCCAGAGCAGAACTTCCAGGGTTATTCCTGTCCTGTGCCAGRAGCCAGGAACAAGCTTTTAAGATTTTTAAAATACTCTTAAAATGCTCCACCCAATTGAGCCTCGATGGGGCTGGAGGGCTGTAAAAAAGGCAGAAATTCTCATTTCCAGGTCTGGCTCTTTTGCTTCATTAAACTTGGGAGYAGCCAAAGTTTCTCAACAGGCAAAGGCAGTGGGACAGACAGTGAAATGAGCTGGAATCTCACAGGAAGCCACACATTTGATCCACTGGCAGCAAACATGCAGCTCTGTCTTCTGGGGGATTTTAATGCTGCCAGAACAGCCTGGACTGTTCCTCCTGGCAGCTCCAGCRCTGCTGGAAGTCTCACTGCAGTCCAAAGGAGCTGCCTGTGCTGGATCTGTGTCCTTCCAGCGCCTGGGGCCAGCAGGGCCAAACTACCCCAACACTTGCTCTGGTTTTAAACACGATTATCCTGAGCCTCCTCCCCAAATCCAGCAGAAATCCCAGAATCCCATTCCCTCTGTGTGGAGCATCCCCTGCCAAAGGCACACTGAACAGGGACACATTTCTGGGAGCAGCCAATAGGTTCAGAGTTCCCAACTCAAACCGCTCCTGGAGAAAAATGTTTTTCTCTCCCACAAGCAAATTTCAGCCTCCCAAAGGTGTTGCACAAGGATCTGGGTGCTTTGCTGTGTCCAGCTGTACTCATCCACAGAGCACAGGGTTCGGCTGGCACAATTCCCTCCACCAACACGGGATGTTCTTTCCCAGCTCCCGGCACGATGGAGCTCAACCCCTCCACATCATTCCCACCCAGTAAAACATCCTGTGCTCCTCAGCAAAGCACTCTGGAGGCTGCTGAAGGCTGGCTGAAGGTGCATTTTGGGAATCTGCTCACTTACCTGCCAGAATATGCTGTCTATTGTGTTCCCCAGGAAGCCATCCCTGCCCTCCGAYGACACCAGCTTAGGTCCCAGAATGGTCATAAATTCATCGAAATCCACCTGGCCATCCCCTGCAATGAAGGKAAAAGGTCAGAGGCTCAAAAATCARAGAGAAGGTTGGGTTGGAAGRGGTTTTCAGAGGCCATAAAGTGCAACACCCTGATGTGAACAGGGACACCTCCCACTGTCCCAGGCTGCTCCCAGCCCCAATGTCCAGCCTGGYCTTGGRCACTGCCAGGGATCCAGGGGCAGCCACAGCTGCTCTGGGCACCCTGTGCCAGGGCCTCCCCACCCTCATTATCATCARTTAATTACCCCTGAGAGCCCAACGTGCCCCTCTGGCCCTGCTGCACATCMGGGACCCCCCACACCCTGGGGCACCTCCACAGCCACTTCCCGGTGCCCATGGACCCAAACCATTTGCTGTGCCAGTGAATGGCCCCTGTTGTGTCCCACCTGCACCCAGGGGCAGAGCCAGGCCGTGCACTGAGGGGAACAGCTCATTCCTCATCCCTGAGAGCCAGGGACACTTCCCAAAAAAACATTTTGGCAGGAGGATGGCACGGCCAGGGCTCTGCCTCACAGATCTCTGCACCACTTTTACAGGGCAGCCCCATCCTCCAGAGGGAGGGAGGGAGCACAGGGAGAGCAGGGAGCCAGAGCTGTTGGGAATCCAGCAGGCAGGGAGGGGAACCAGGCTATGGCAAATCCAGCAGGCAGAGAGGGGAACTAGAGCTGCTGGAAATGCAGCAGACATTCCATCCCAGCCTTGCAGCAGCATCTGYCTGTGTGCCCGGCATGCAGAGCAGGCAGCACAGGCACAGCTTCAGTGCCACCAGCAGGGACAGGTGACATCTCCTGCCACTGATGAGCTGAGCTGGTGCAGTCCTGAGCGTGGCTCCTGCTCTGAATGAGGCACGGGGCTCGTTTGGAGTGAGTTCTGTGTCCAGTATCGTTTTCCCCTTAACAAAAAATGGGACATTCACGCCTCCAGARGGATCTTAAAAATCCCTTTTTGTCTGAGCAGTTCAATGCCCAGATCTCCTGAAAACGCTTAACCTAATCTGCTGGAAAATCTCCTCCACTGATCAGGCCATGGACGTCTCCTCCTCCACGTTATTAAACGATAGGGGCAGATAAATCAGCCGCGCTTCAAGCCTGGGATCAGACTCAGCACCTGCAGGATTTGGGGCTGTGTTTTATTCCGATTCAGCTGAAATCTGAAACTCTGCATGCAGCCCAGACTGCCCCCAGCCCTCCCTGGAGCCGCCGCTGTTCGCTGATGAGGTGTGAGAAGCGTCTCAGACCGTGACACTCGGGTGGATCGATGCCAGGGCCGCGCTGGCAGCGCCGTGTGYCGCTGTTATCTGTCCCCTTATCACGACCCCTGCCTCGATCCGAGCGGCTGATCGCCACCTTCCCTGTCCTTATCTCCCGTGCCCTTATCTATCTCCGCACCGACGCCGTGCGAGCATCAGCACCACCCGAGCACTCCCTCGGCAGAACCGGGGGATCCGGGATTTCTGCCAGGGGATGTCCTGGGGGTGAGGCGCTGAAAGGGAGCCCGGCGAGGATCCGCGGGGTCTGGGATCCTGTAAAACGCACCGAGCCCCGCCGCTASAGCCGCTCACAGCCCCGGGGCTTGGCAGGACGGTGTTCAGTTCTGGGACAGCTTATAAGGAAAGGGCTGGGCACCTCATCACTTGGAGATGTGAAACGTTCTATGAAAACGTTCTCTGAAACATTGACGGGCTATGGAGAACGCGTTCCCTCTGCTGCCCCTCGGGAAGTGCCAGAACGGCAGCCAGCGGGGCTGGATCGCTCCCCGCGCTCCGATCGCTCGGGAAGGTAACGCAAGGTGACAGCGACTGCCGGGTGATTACACCGCGGCACGGCGCTTGATGGCAGAGGCAGGAGCGAATCCATCCGCTGGGATGCAAATCGGGATGCTTTGGGATGCTAATTTCTGTAAATTAGCCGGATTAGCAAGGAAACAATTTGCATTTTAAAGAGATGCTGGTGCTGTCCCTGCATCCGTTTGCTCTGTGCGTGYGCGACCCCCAGCACGGAGTCACCGGGTTCGGGCTCTCTCCAATGTCACCGCAGCCGCAGGGGACAGGCAGGACGTGTCCTACACGTGATRCCAGAGAAAGGGGTGCCAGGACTGTCGGATCTGACTTTGTCCCAGTCTCCGGGCAGCACTTTGCTCGTGACTTCCCCGTGCCTCGGCCAGRGATCATCACCAACTTCGCTGGCTTTAATTAACAGCTTAATTACAGCATTTTCCACAACCTCCGAAGAAAGATACCATTAAAAAAATGCATTATCCCCTTATTGACTTCCTTTTCAATTAGAACTCCTAACCAGCGAGGCAACCAGAGCCCTCTTTTGCCGGGTAGAAATAYCCCTTTAACATTCATTTCGAGCTGCAGAAAACAAACCTTCCCTGTCATCAGCACCTCAGGAGACTGCAGCATCATTTCATCAACAGACAGAAATCACAGTTCTGTCTCAAAATTCCTTTTGACAGCCACGAGAGGAATGTTATAAAAACCAAATGTTATAGAAACCAACCGCAAAAGCCGCATGGGGCCGCTCTGCAGAGGCAGGGCATGGCCAAAGCCCAGTACCCACAGCCCATCCTGGAGCACAGCTTGGAGCTGGGTTTGGCACAGGCCAGAGGCGCCTTCCTCRCCCTCCTCCTCCTCCCCACCATCACACAGGCGGCGCTGGGAGCTGCTGTGGGATGCACAAGCTGAGCACCTGCTGGGATTGAGCCCTGGAATCCAATCCAGCCCCTGCCCCATCCCTGTGCTGCGGATGTGCTGCTCCACCAGAGCCCTCAGTATTCTGAGCCATGGGCGGCTCCTCCACAAATGAACTCGGAGCTGGGACTGAGGCTGGGGAAAAGGAGGAAAAGGCCAGGCTGGAGCTCCTGTGTTGCCTGTTCTCCCTCACCTCCCTCACTGCTCTGGGAACCTTCCCAGTGCCCACAGCTCATGTGGGGCCAGCAAGGAGCTGCCAAGCTCCCCACTTGAACTGCTCGTTCATGGAGAGACCCTGGGGACAATCCCAGCTTGAGAAGCCCCAGCAACAACATTTGCTGTGCTGTAAGCTCGATTCGACTGCTCCAGCAGGGAATCCTGGGATTCCATGGCATATCCAACATGCTTATCCCGAGTGGGGAGGTGGCAGGGGTTGGAACTGGATCCCCTTTAAGGTCCCTTCCACCCCAAACTGTTCCATGGCTCTGTGTTTCTGAGAGCACCCAAGACGACAGAGCAGCAGCAAGGAGCAGCAGAGCTGGGAATCCGAGGGCTGCCCCAGCTCTTCCAGACCCTGCAGCCCGGGGAAATCAGCTTTGGACCTGGCTGACTCCAGGGAGGGGTGTCTGCACCCCTGAACAATGTCCACTGGACCTCCTAAACAAACCAGYGGGATCAGAGAATCATCAAGGTTGGAACAGGACTCTGGCATCATCGAGTCCAACCTTCCCCCAGCACTSCCAAGGCCACCACWKTCCCMARGTGCCAYATCCACMGGGCTTTTGARCATTTCCAGGGATGTCTGRCCACCCTTTCCATGAAGGAAAATTCCCARTRYCCCCCCTGCCCCTGCCCTGGYCCAGCCTGAGGCYGTTCCCTCTCCTCCTGTCCCTGTTCCCTGGGAGCAGAGCCCRAMYCCCCCGGCTGCCCYCTCCTGTCAGGGAGTTGTGCAGAGGAGAAGGGATGGAAAACAAAGAAAATATCACTGATGACTTCATGTCTGGAGGGGACTGGAAAAGCACCGGTGCCCTCCAGCAAGCAGAATTCGGGTTGGRCACGATTTTGGAGGAGATGGAAGATCCTCCAGCACTCTGGGAAGAGATTTCCTCTGCTTAACGGCTTCCCTTCACTGCCAATCCTCATCCAGAGTGGGGTCGGGATCCCACATCCCAGGACCAAGAGGTTTCAGGTGCAATCAGCTGCTCCTGCTGGTTTATCAGCGGTTTTTCAGTGGTTCAGCAGTGTTTTTTCAGTGGTTTATCAGAAGTTTATCAGTGGTTTTCCACTGGTTTATCAGAGCTGAGCCCAGCAAATCCCAACCCTCTCTCTAAGCTCTCAKCTCCAGACAAAGGATTCCACCTTCCCTCAGCCTTTACCCGAGGGGAGAGGGGAAAGCTGGATCTGCTGGAGAGTATCCGGCAGGAAACACAGAGCAGAGCTGGGCACTCACAGAGCAGAGGAGGGCACCAACAGCCCCAACCCCACCCCACCCCACTGAGCCCCATCCCGCCTTTCCCTTGCCCTGATCCCACAGGATCCCCCTCGGGAAACTGCCCAGATTGGAAATGCCAGACAGGGAGAGCCGGACTCCAAATCCCCTCATCCCAGGGGCTCCTGGAAGCTCCTGCGCTTTGAAGGAACAAGGGAGTGCTCGGAGGAGCGGGGGTGAGCCCATCCCGCCCTCATTCCCACGGGACAGCCACACCCTCAGCCCTCAGGGCACCCCTCCTCTCCAAGGGTCTCCTGTCCCAGCGGCTCCCTTGGAGGGGGGAATTCAATATTAATTGGGATGGAGAACGGCAGAGCTGGAAAAGGGAATGAGAGGGGGAAAACCTGCCTGGAAATGAGAGAAGGAAAAGGGGAATGAGAGGGGGAAAACAGGAATGAGAGGAGGAAAAGGGAAAATGAGAGAGGGAAAGAGGGAAATGAGAGGGGGAAAACCTGCCTGGAAATGAAAGGAGGAAAAGGGGAATGAGAGGGGGAAAAGGGGAATGAGAGGGGGAAAAGAAGGAATGAAAGGAGTAAAAGAGGGAAATGAGAGGGGTGAAAGGGGAATGAGAGGGGGAAAGAGGGAAATGACTGGGGGAAATTTCTGGAAATGAAAGGAGGAAAAGGGGAATGAGAGGGGAGAAACACTCCTGGAGATGAAAGGCGGGGAAAGGGAAAATGAGAAGGGGAAAAGGGAAATGAGAAGGGGAAAAGGAAAATGAGAGAGGGAAAAGGAAAATGAGAGAGGGAAGAGGGAAATGAGAGGGGAAAAACATTCCTGGAAACAGAGGAGGGAAGAGGGAAATGAGAGAGGGAAA